CCGCGTTCCCGCCGCGCTGGACCTGGACTGTGCCGCTGCGCCCGGGAACTGGACGCGCGGGACCCGCGAGCCTGGCCTCGGCCCGTACGAACCAAGACGCCCCCTCCGAGCAGGGCCCGGCCGAGCGACCTTAGCTCAATCCGGATCCGAGTTGGAGCGGGTGTTGGGCCGGGGGTGACGGTGTCTAGCCCGGGACGGGGGAACTCGCTGAGGAGCCGCGCGGCCCCGGCGCTCCCCCAACAGCCCTCGTCCGTCCTGCGCCCGGAAAAATTATTTTAAGGCTACGGAACCCGCAGCTGGCGGTGCGGACGCGGCGAGAGGAGGGGGGGGGCTCGCCTCTGGGCACCCCAGCGTCCCCGCGGGCCCAGGTTCCCTGCGCCGCCCCTGAGCTAGGAGGTGGCCCCTGGCCCCGGGCGGAGCCGCTGTGCTAGAAGAGTGGAGCCGAGCCGGGAGAGCTCCGGGCACGGCCAGGGCCCCTCGCCGCGCCCACTTTGCACACCCGCTCTCCGGCCCGCGCCCCTGTTTACAGCGTCCCTGTGTATGTCGGACTGACTGTATAGAATTATAAATCTGTCTATATCGACTTGTCCATGTACGTCTATTAAAACCATAGTACGAGCGTGCTAACCACTGCGGAGCCCCGACTACTTCTTTCAGCTGAGGAGGGAGGCGGGTAGAAAGGGAACTTCGCCACCGGGGCCCCCGAGGGCAGGAGGGAAGAGCGGAGGCAGACCCCGCCAGGGCCCATTCCCCCACTTCCCACCGCCGTTCCCGACCCGGCGGCCGGGCTCCCGCGAGGGCGCCGCCTGGCACGCCCAGCTCGCCCTCTCTGCGCCTCCCGGCACTCACCACCTGGGTTGCTCAGCCTTGGCGCGGTGTGCTTGGGCTGCCCTAACCCGGACCTCCTCCCAGCCCCCCTCAACACGCGGGCCACCAGACTGCAGGCTCTCGGGGGGTGCGTGATCCTTGTCTGCCCAGGGCGTTGAGATCGGACCGCTGAGAGCTTCTTTAGGTCTGGGGTTGCCTTTTTTCCTGTGGGCCCGGTATCCCCACCTTGAAGCCCTGTCCTGGCTCTTCTGGGAGGTGTGAGGGTGCTGGATTCACCAGAGCCTAGCCAGGGCCTCCCTTCTCTCCCCCCCCCCCCCC